TAATTATATATATATATATATATATATATATATATATATATAGAGAGATATGTCTTTGGATTGTTCATTAACTATATCAATTTTTTTCATTTTTTAAAAAAAATTCTGATTAAAAATAGATTTGTGAAATAAAATTATAAAACATACCTCAATCCAACATGGTGTTTCTTTTATGCTTTGTCGCGGATAATCTGGACCCCATCCCTTAACAAAACTTAAACGCAAGATACAAAGTCTTCGTAAATCATCGACTCCAATTCCCGCAGCCGCGCTAAGACCTAAATAATAACCAAGTTTTATGCACTTTATATATCTATATGCTACATATTGAAACATATAGATGTATTTATTTATTAAAAATATTAACAAATGTTTATGGCCCTTACTTTTGGTGATAGGTGCGCCATGTGTGAGATGGCCCGCGACAGCTGCTGCTTGTGCTGCTGCGGCAGCTTGAGCGGTAGCGGCTTGGCCTCGCATTTGCTTATGACACTGCCTCAGATCAAAGACTTTAATATATGCCGATGGGTAAATTTTGTGTACCGCGTCACCAGGTGCTCGGCCTGCTTCTCTATCCAGATAATAAGACTGCACAAAAACGCTGTGTTCACTCTGGCATCTCAACCAAACATCACCTTCACCTCTCAAATCTAAGACGACACCTTTTCCTAAAATATTTTGTTTTAAATAAACAAATGTTGCAATATTTTATTTGTTAAAAAATTTTTAATTAAATTATAATTACCTATATGAAGACGCGCTCGTTCGCTCTGTTCCGTTCTATGTACGTTGCTCAAGGCACCTAAGCAGAATCTGTTTCCACCGCTTGGATCAACATAACCATCCACAGTAACCGTAGGGCAACCGCTACTAACTTTGAACGTTTCTCCGACTTGGATATCTAATTCAAAATAACCAACAGAACACCAATATTCTGGAGCTGGTTGTGTAGAAAGTAATCCTCCAATATTGCCACTGACATCATTTCCATGACTTCCCCCTATTCCATTTAAATATCAGAATTATTTTAAAATTATATTGCTGTATTATAAAATATAAGAAGATAATCTTCTTATAATGTAAATAACTTACAATATGATGTTGTATGAAGATGTCGTGGATCTGGTGGTTGCATACTTTGAGTATATGTGAGAGTATTGGCACCAGTCCATTGTGGTGCTCCAGAATTGTATGATGCTGTACCTACAGGAAAACCGTTTGGATGATGAAGGTGTACAGGTGACACAGGAGAGCTCTGTCCTTCACCTATTTAAACAAAAGAAAATAAATAATCTTATAATAAAGAATGTTGAAACATTTTTGTTATAAAAGAAAATCCAGATATTATGTTTTATATTATATCCAAATCTTATATTTAAAAAAATGTAATAATATTCTTATTATCTAAATAATGGATGTTCGAAGGATTTACACACCTAGAGAAGCCGCTAATGCATCGACTGTCGGGGGTTGATTAATGTCTTGTGGGGGTGTGGTAGTGCTGTAGAAGGTATCAGCTGTCGATTGCCCCTGTGTAGGACTCAGGATCTGCGCGCCAGACGTTCCACTCGATGTAGCATTCAGCGTTTGTTGTTGACTACCTACGGTGTGACTCATTGGATGTACTACTGCTGCAAAATCAAAATTCATACACGATGCAGGCAACATAAAATATTGAAACGCAAATATTGCACATGGCTCTCGCTATCGCTGCTCTGAAAGTGTTCATCACAAGCATCGGCCTTTTCCAAAGAAACATTCTAATTGTGTCTGTTTTGAGTTAATACTTGTTGTAATATCACTACAGCTAACGAGCTCTTCAATTTCAGAATTTGTAGATTCTTAAAAAAAATCAGGATTTTATCAAATTGATTTAAAATATTAATTTATTATCATTGATAATATTAATAAAATATTAATCTAATACATGATTATCTTTATTTGTTTTTGAATTGTTATATCAAATATATCTCTTACTAATTTTCTTTAAAATAAATTCAAATTTTGTTCTTTATTCTTTCCCAATTATTTTATTTTTTGTTGAAGACTTATTTATAGATTTAGCCATTTGTGAATATCTTTACATTCGTATCGATTTATTCGACAATTACACTAACTCGTTTTGTTATATTTATTTTCTCTTAATTATATATATTTAGATTCGGATGTTTTTCTTCCAATGTTCATTCGATGTTGGTTATTCAGAGTTGCGAGAAAGAATATCATTGAATTCCGAAAATTCTCTCGTAATTCGAAAAAACTAACGTGTTTTTCGACAATTAAATAAATCAATACAGTCTTTTATTTACAATTCTGTTTAAATGTTAAGTATTATGATATACAGTAATTGCCATTGGAATATTATGCCATTAACAATAAAATGATCTTAATAAACTATTATAAATTCTCACTAATTTCATTTTCAGCTAATATAATCTTCAAGAAAAGCTTGAACCAGTCAATATTAAGTCAATAAGAACAAATAATTTATAATTAATTTGGGAAATTCCGTGCTGTGAAATTTTTAAAAATTATGAAAAATGCACACTGGCAACATTGAGCAAAGGCTAATTAGCGACATACAATCGAAAGCTCCTTAAATAAATTGCTGTATACAATGAAATACGTACGATGATGCATGTTACGGCCTGCCGAGTGATGAGGCGTGGGAATCCAAGTTTGCCTGGGGCAATTATTGTCGTCCAGTTTAGCGTGGGGATTACCATTATTGCCGCCCCCACCGGCACTAAACATACTCTCAGTACTGGCTGTGCCGAACAATCAGAAGGAAAAGAAAACAATGAAGCCAAAATAAAAATTGAATTACGCAACAAAAGAGAGAAATTTGCGAAGCATATTCTTGCCTGCTAATCTACATCCGATAGCAGTGAAAGCGACTGGCTCGTTAGCAATCATAATAAATAATTAATTGATTATATCGAGCGCGTCAAATTCGATAGTACGTATATTTTTAACACAGTTGGATGATGCCTGTATAAATTTTCCTGAAACGTAATTATAACATGCCAAATTTGCGACTTAATCATCTATTAACATCCTGATATTTAGAAAAAGAGATGCATCTATATGTTAAGATGTTGCACCGATTATCAAGATATACCATTATCTATCAGACATCAGACATTAATTACAAACAAATTTACACCGTGTAAAGCCAATCGATGAAAATTTTGATAAAGTGAAAGCTTCACAAATGAAAAGATACAACCGCAACACTCAACTTACCTGGATTGGGAGGCGGTAAGCCTGGTATAAAACCTTGCTGGCCTTGTTGAGCATTGTTCGAGGCGGTTGGTTGAGCCGGTGGATGATGCTGAATCGTCTGATTCATCTCGCCATCCACATCCATCGCGGATCCGACCGCGGCTGCGGCTGCTGCAGCAGCGGTGCCGCCACCACCGACCGTGTACTCATCCTTGACCAGTCGGCCACCAGGTCCTACACCCACGCTGGATTGCAGAGTCAGGCCGGACAGGTCTGTAAAGAACGGGTCTGTGCGGGGGAAACCAACCCATTCCATCAAGACACCAAGAAGACCACAACAATCAATAATTTTTTTCCCTAGCATTCTGTACGTTAACCCCAGGATACACAATATATAATACTTTCATCTCATTAAATAATTACAATCAGAAACGATACGTAATAATTAAAAAAATTTTTATAACAAAATTATGAAAAAGAAAAATTAAAGCTGCAAAAAAAGAAGTAAAAAGTATGTAAAATACAAATATTAAATATTTTAAAAATAAATTTTAATGCAAAGTTACATATCGTAACATACCTATGCCTGGGGACACCACTCGCTCATAATGATAGGGATTCACGCATACAGAGTCGCATTTCAAGTCGAAAGCGAACTGGCAGTATTTTACGTGTTTCAATTCGTTCTTATGCAAATCCGGCCATCTCCAAATTCGAGCGTAGATCACATGAGGAAAACCTTTGCGCCCTGCTACTTGTAATCTACCATCCAGAGTTCTTTGGATAGTGACACATTTACTTGGATGTGCGCCGTTGGTGGTTATTGCAGTGATTAAGCTATCCAATTCGTCACGCTTCTCCTATTGATTTTATTAAATATGCGTCATATATTAATCTTCATAATTTAAAATATAATGACAAATGAGAAAAATTACAAATAAAATATTATTTTTATAATTAGTATTTACTATTACTTTAAAATCTATATATATTACAATATCAGCAATATAAAAATATATACAGGATTTACTTTAAGTTTCTTCACTAATGATTCGATTGCGCGTTTGCTGAAACCTTCACTTTCACCACCTTGACGATGACACATTAACGAGTGCACAATACTTAAGCAGGCGTCAGCGCTGGTTGGAGCGCTGGGTGCTATTCCAGTCATTTCTCTCACTACAATTGAAAGTATAAAGCATATAAATTAACGAAGACAATAATAAAACTTGATTTTCTTTAATAACAAATAATAACTTAAAATGTTATAATTTTTTAGTTTCCTTTCATATTATAATATGTAAAATAAAAATAATATATAAAATAAAAATTATTAAAAGCTTAAAAGATTAATATCACTCAGTTAATCAAGTAGTTTTATTCTATAGCTGATGATTTATTAATTATTAGATTCTATAAAATGTAAAACATTATCAAAGATAATAGATAAATGTAGATACATGAATCAAATAATGTAACAAATATTACAATATTTACACTCAGGATTTGGTTGCATGGGGGGCGAGGGATACAAGTGACTTCCCCCGCCCGCCAATCCAACCATCTCGGTGAAAGCCGTGGTGGACACTGTCGCTTTTCTTCTCTCAAATCACTGGCTTTTTCTCTGGACCTGGTACAGTCCGAACTTTCACACTCTACCATCTAGCGATTCGTGTTTCATCCATATATCACAATAGTTGCTTTTCTATAAATAATTTTAGTCATATTCATATCCCACGTATATAATCAATATAACAATTGATCTATATAACAATTTTAATCATAATCAATCAAAAAAATAATTGTAATATTATATTTCATTATAATATAAACAAAATAAGTTTATCTAATGCTAAGCTACATTAATAAAATAAATAACGCCTTTAAGATATTCATTTCCAACAATCATTAATAATTGTTAAAGACATTACGTTAGAGGTAAATACACCTGTTTGTCTAACAAATAATAATTATCACATTATCAATTCACTAATAATCTGTTTGTGTAATAATAACAATTATCAACTCACTAATAATGGCATTCACATTAGTACAATAGTAAGGATAAATTTATGTGCGTTCACGTAAATCGATCAACGGAACTCACGTTCGAGCAATAATACCAGGCTGGGTCGAGGACACAACGGTCGACGAGAGGTCGAGACCGTGACGTACGCGGGCAGCATGCACGGAAGAGGTGATCGCAGCTCGCAGGAGTTCCTCGTGCGTGATCCGGACTGAATGTCGGCGGTGACGATGACGAGCGTCGCGCGTTGACAATTGCGCGTGGAGGGACGCTTGTTGCGGCGCGACGTCGATGGTCGAACGTTAGCGTCAGCGTCAGCGTCAGCGTCGTCGTCGTCGTCGTTGTCGTCGTCGTTGTCGTTGTCGTCGACGATCAGACATACGAAGTGGCGCGACGAGATGCCGACATAGCGCGATGGCAGTCACACGGTTACTCCTAGCTCGCGGTTAATCGCGCGTGGCACACCAGATACGAATTCTCACGCAATGGATCGGCGAGCGTTGCTCCGTAGATCGCATAGGTTAGCACATCAATAATACATGTTCGGGGGGCGCGGATGATGTCGCCGTGAACAGTGAGCGCGGCCAGGCCAGGAGGCCAGACTAGTCGCGCGACAACACCAGATAGTTACTTTGCAAATTGCTTTGCGATTGGCACTCCTGTTGCGAATAACATCGAGCGCATTTCGGTTTGTAAGTAGCAATTAAACGTGATTGGTTGGATCCAAAGATAAGAACCAATAATAATCCATTGTTATTTGGAGTGGGGGATCACTTAATGCGTCTATTTTCTTCCTTGTTTCATTAGATGTTGCGGATTGGACCGGAAAGAAATTGGCGGAAATTTGAGCTTTTGCGATAGTGATTTGTGTACATATAAGTATTCCTTCTGCACTTAAAGCGAGATGTATATTGTTAAGCAGAAAGAACGTGCGCGAATTGGAAAAAGTGCGATTAAGATGAATGGATGTTGATTGAAGATACGAATTAAATAATGATGGAAAAGTTAACATTTTGAGTAATTTATATCAGAGATTATCTGTTATGTTTAATTTAATTACTCTTTTCTGTTTAATTGGAAGTTATCTGCAAAAGTACATATGTTATTATAAAAATTTAATTAAGTTAAAAAGTTAATCGAAACTGTAATTGCAACTTTATTTAAAGATATCAAAAATTAAATAATTTTAGATCCTAAATTTAAATTTTATAAAATATGCGTTGCATTTCATATATATCTGTATGAAAACAATTATTAATAAAATAAAAATTACATTTTACAATGTATAATATTATTTTATTATATATTTTATTGGTTTAGTTTTATATATTTCCAAAACGATTTTTAAAAAGAAATATACCATGACATGTGTCTTTCTGTTTAAGAAAACACTTATTAAATGGGGGTGTAACTCAGTGGTAGAGTGTCTGCTTCGCATGCTGAAAGTCCTGGGTTCAAATCCCAGCTCCTCCAATTTAAATTTTTTTATTATTTTAATACATATAACAATACATATATTATATATAATTATGAACTTTTTTATTTTATTATAAAAAATTATTAATTATATTTAATATTATATACTATTTTTATATAAAACTTTTCTGCTCTCTCTCATTTTCTTTCCATAAGCAATTAGATATTTAAAGATTATAATTTTAAATATTATCATTTTTATTAATATAATTGTATTTATTATTATTCATTATTATAATTATCGCAATTTCATTTTATGCTTATTGTACAAATAATACTGGCATATAATATTAATAGCTAGACCTAGTAATTTAATAATCGAAAATATCATAAATTAATTACTAGAAAAACAGAAGTTATTCGCTAATATTCGATTTTCCTGCGTACTAAAAAAAAAAACAAAGTCAGACGAGCCATAAAATTTTGCATTGTTAAATTGTGACATATAAAAAAAATAAACAGTGTATTTAAGACCAATAAGTAAATCAAGCTAATCATTGTTAAACATTTTAAAATGATAATTTTAAATTTTCGATAAGTCTCAACTATAATTGACCAATTTGTTTATTGCTTTCTTATTTACTTTTCATGCAATTTACTTCGACATTGTTTCTTACATGGGACTTGCCAGAGGCGAAATTATCGAGTAATTCGAACTTGAGCAAGATATAGCGTTTTACATTATAATTTATTTTACATCAACTATTAAGGGAGAAAAACACTATAATAATAAAAAAATGAAGATACTTTCGGAACTTTTTGCAAAAAAAAAAATAAACAATGGATCTTTTTAAAATTTGAATGATATTTTATTAAGAATATTTCTAAATAGAAAAAAATTTTTTAGTTCATTTAGAGTCCATATCTCCGTTGTACAAAAACCATTAGTAAAAAGTGATCGCAATGATTCGGCTATGCAATTCATCTGAAATAAAAAAAATCAGGACGGGACATTTTTAAGTAGAAAAAAATATTTTTTAGTGCTCATATCTTCACTGTACCAAAAATCGCTAGTAGACGCTACAAAAAAAACAGACGCTGTTAGAAGAAGATAATCGCTTTCTTTTTAAGAGATGCTTATCATCTTATAGTATGTTTTACGCGTGCTTACGTTTTTAGTTGAATAATCATAAAATGAATACACATGAAATTTATATTCTGTTTATATTAAAGTATCGATTTTGATTAGAAACTCCGATTAACTTATCGGCGATTAACTTATCAAATAATATTTGCACTCTTTTGTTAACGTTAATAGAATTATTAAATTTGTGTTTTATCTATATATAACATGGGAAACTAATTCGAAATTAATTAAAAATTAGATTTTTTCTTTATTAAAATAAAGGAAAGAAATCCAATTCTTAGCGATAGCGATTCTTTCTGAGAAATTGTTCGTCGAATGAAATTAATTACTGTTTCGTTTGAAATAGCGTTAAATAATGAAATATTTAAAACTTATGTATGTATTCAATGATAATTCGATGATAACGCTTTTTAAATAATGTAAATCTGTCGTAATTGCGAAATCCTAGGTGAATTCTCCTTTTCCAGAAAGCTTAGTATATTTCCCAGAGCTGTAAAACAAATGCAAATTTATTTAGACACATCTATTCAAGTTTAAATAGAGAAGCGGACATGTTATATTTAAGACTCCTGCTGACTCACTGCGGTTTTCTTAAATTATGATGTTAGAAGCGCGAAAATATATGATGAAAAGTTTTGTAAAATACATTAAATACATTATGGAGATACTTTTTTCAATAAAATAATATTCGCAATAAATAAAAGACTTAAAGAAGTATAAAATATTTAAAATTATCCTTTTTTTATTCCATTAATCAATAAATAACCATATAATTAGAATCGAATCATGGCTCTATTCTTGATTAAGCATAATTTATTTCTAAATATATGGTTGATCGTGTATTTTCCCACTTGTGACGTCATATATCCAGCCGCAATGAGTTAGCAAGAATCTTAAATATCTATTTCGTTACTTAATACGACTTCGACCACATGATTAATTTAAATTAATTAATTTCACAAGTCATAAAAACAGTATAGAATAGAAAAAAATTTAGATTAAAAACAGTTAATTATGCAATTTGCAAACTATTTCTGCCGATAAGTTGTTTGGAATTATTTTTAGATTTTGAGATTATTAAGCAAAGATCAAGTCAGCGGTATTTGTGAAAATAAATTATATTATATCCGATTTGATCAAAATCATTTGCAATTTGATATACGCGTTAACTTGATTTTCATATTACCTTTCTTATCCTCGAGATCCATGAACATGCTAACGATGGAGAATCGATTCAGTCGGCTCAGAGAATACAGCAAACTTGCGAGCAATTCCTTATCTTCCAAAGCACAAAAATGTTGTTCCAAGCAACGTAAAATGAGACTGAACATCGCTGCGTCCAATTTGTTGCCTATAACTGTGAATTAAAATTGTTTCTTGATTTTAGGGCCACTTTATTTTAGGCGTTTATAATTTAAAATGAAATGGATTTTTGTATGTTGCATATTGCAAAAATTATTTAAAAAATCAAAACATGTAATAAAACGTGTATATATTAAAATGTAAATATCAAAATACAGCATATAACAAATTAAATAATTACAAATTAAATTAAATTTTATTCCAAGATTTACGTAAAATAAATTAACATAAATAGAATTGTAAATTAATCTAATATTAATTAATAATGTTAACATTAACAATATAATTAATATCATTTTGTAAAATTTACTTTTGTTCATATCCTCGCTAGCTATACATCGCAAAAGTTTTGCGTGCAACTCCAGACTTACGTCGTCCTTCAGGGATTGCCATAAACGTAGAAATTCATAAGGAGATTCAATGTTGTCGAGTTTCTGAAACAAAGATAAAATAAAATATAAAATATAAAATATCTTTTATTTCTTATTCTTTTTCGATTGCATTTTTTATTAATACATGTTTTTTTACTTGATCTGTTATAAATTATTCTAATTGTGCTTTGATAAAAAAATGTTTGAAAATCTTCAAACATAAGAAAAAGGAACAATTAAATTGTATTCCGAGAAATCTTAAGTAATACTTGAAAATCCATTTTCATATTGATATTTTCCTTTCGGCCTTCGTTAGATTCGATAATTTTGTTCGACGTTCCGCTCGTTCTATTCTTCCCTTCTTTTTCAGAAGAAATCAGCTTTTTATTCTTATTTACATCTAATTTTTTGTTTAGCGATGTATCTTTCTTCTCTTTTAGATTTGTTATTTTCTTCGTTTCCACCTTCGCTTCGTTAGAATCAATAATTTTCTTCGATTTCTCACTTTCGCCGGCTTGAATTTTACCAGGTGTTAAGCTCATTTTGGTTTTGCTCTCCTTTCCGAGAGAGTTTAATTCCATATTTTTATTCACACATGATTTTTTGGTTGGTGTACTTTTCTCTTCTATCAGGCTATCAGTTCCTTTCTTCGCTTCCACTTTCGCCGCGCTGGAGTCGACAGGTTTCCTTGGTTTCTCGCACGCTTCGTCGCTCGGAAGCTCTTCGATGATAACCGTGGATGGCTTCGTCCTACCCACAGACGACGACACGCACGAAAAGATAGACTTTTCCAATCTGCTCTTCGCGCCACGCTGTTCAGGAAGTGACTCGCGGGAAATTGTGAAAATATCGTCGCTCCTGACAGCGTCTTGTGATTTCGACGTTTTATTTCTGGCGCCAAAATCCTTCGTAACAGGTGATAATTTATTGCCGCTTGAGGAGTCGCGTGTTGTTTTGCTGTTGCTTTTATTTGCTGCGGTATCCGCCACTGCTACTGCCGCTGCTGCCGCTGCTGCTATTGCTTTGTTGCTCTCGGTTTCCACGCAGTAACTCGCTTTTAAGTGCGGCTTCGTCGCAACATTTCTCGACGAGCCTGGCGCTCTGTCGCAATAACATATATTGCTGTTAACACGCGATTTCGGACATTCAATGCTGTTCGCTTCCACAGTTCTCTCCAGCTTTATTCGTCCGTCCTTGTTTTCGTCGTCGTTGATATTTTCCTCAATCTTCATCCTGCGAGAATATAGTCAGCAATTTAATGATGAGAGTAATATAATGATCATATCTTTATAAAATTGTCGTTATCATTCTAATTTTGAAATTTTTTTTTAATCTGGATTTAACCGATAAAAATTACAAGAGATACTTAAAAATTTAATATATATTTTAATAAATATAATATTTAAGCAGTGAACATATTTTTACCTTATTTTCCTTGATACGCATGGTTTTCTTAGTTTATTCACGCCGGATATTGCTATTTTGTTAGTGGGCTCTAATTTTAAAACAGCTTCGTAATCTGCCAAAGCCTGTAATAAAGTAACATAATAGCTAATTGTGTATAAAAAAATTATAAAACTTTATTTCTGAAAAATTGAAATAGAAATATTTTTTCAATTGAAGTTTCTCACAAATGTTTCTTTAATTAATTTCCGCAATTTTAAATAAATTTATTATATTTTTATTATATTTCATAAATATCAAATTAAATCAATTAATAAATGACTTGATATCAGGCGCAAAATATACTTAAACGTAAATCATAAATCAATATGAAATATTATGCGTGTAATTTTTATATACCTCATGCGCCTTTTCGAGGTGTTCCAAGGCTAATGCTCGGCGAAGAAGTGCTTTAATATTTTTGTAATCCATAGTGAGTACCGTATTGCAATCATTAAGCGCATCTTCATAATGCTGTAGCTTTATCACTTAACACAATACATATTAGTTAAAACTTTTATTATGCAATATAGAATTAAGCAATACTTTGACGAATTTTAAATTTGAAAAGTACAAAAAATGTTTTATTTTACATAGCAGTAACACAATCAATCTTTTGATTTAATTTTTTTATAATTTAAGAAGAATTAGAGACAGTTGAATTTTGTTAAAAAATATTTTTGGTCATTTCACTGTAAGATCAAAAGTATTTAATTTAATGTAATCAGAATAAAATTATAAAAAAATGAGTTTACTTACACGTAATCGCACGATTGTTGTAAGCATTTAGATTCGAGTCTATGTCGATGCTAGCATTATAGTGTCGAAGAGCTTCCCTGTAATCTGCCGCTTTGAAGGCTTCATTCCCCTTTTCTCTTTCTTGTTCCGCCATTACGTTTATTTCCGTGCCGGTTAATGAAACTAACAGTAGAAGAGACTTAGTAGATCTAATTCAAGAGATTCAATTTCTATTAAAAATTAACGGATGATCGAGATTAATGAGAGAAACGAAATGTATGGATTATCTGAGGTACCCCATAATTCATTTATCTACTTGACAGTTCTTGATTTTCTTAATTAATCGTCGTGATTTCAAAGACTGTCTTTTTGCAGACATACTTTTATCGATTGTCGTTTTATGTGCCATCTCATTCGTTTTATCCAGCTCCTTTCGCCGTTCTTGAATTCTCTTCATTTCGGCCTGTCGCTGCTCGTCCTGCAGATCTATCCTATTTATCTCTGTATCGACGTCATATTTATCCCAAGCCGCGTAATCACATGAGGATATTCGTTTGGACTTATTGCGTTTTTTCTCATTGATCTTTGATGTTTTATCCTTAAAACACCCGCAAATTATTCCCTAATTATATCACTTTCTTAGCTTAAGTAAGCATAATTATAAAGTTGAATTTTATACTAATTAATGATAATTAATCGCGATTTTGATTACTTCACTAATTATAGAAAATCATGTAATATTCTAACGACAAAATATGACTTTTCGCAAATTTTATGCAAGTTTTAATATATTAACAAAATGTATATTCTTTTGTTCTGTTTATCATATTGACTCACTTTCGTGGCATTTGTTTTAATCTTTCGAACTTCCGCCTGCGGACAGGGTTCGTTGGCGAAGATAGCTTTTCCCTCATCCAGGTCTTTCTCTCGGGATAGCATCTCGCAAGTCCAATTGTTGATGTCGTCGTCGATTTCCTGCCGTTCGTCTGTGTTCAACATATTTCGTCTCAAAACTGGCTCCGCCTTCCGCAGAACGGCGCTCATCGGCTTAATCTTAGCGAGACGTTCCTCCGCGTGCTTCGTCAAATCTGGATACATTCCCTCTTCCCCAGAACTGGTATTTAAAACCGCACGTGGAGATGTTTATGACAAATCGTTAATAAAACGTGCCGGAAAATAACGGGTTTAATGGCGTTTTAAGCAGCAGGGTTGCAAATCTCGCTGACGATTAACGCAACGGAGATTAAAAATTGTTAGTATATATACTGTAATTATCATAATGTAGGACTAGCCGAGAGGTACGCAAAATAGGAAGCGTCAAGGTGGAATTAATAATATTTTGCATAGAGAGAGGTTTCAAGAGAGGCATCAAGAGAGGCCAGTCTTGCAAACCTGATTGACAGACGTTGAAGGAAATTTTTTAACGTCAACAGCGCAAAGATAAAATAGTAACGATGGTAATCAATTGGCGCTAACACGAACGTTGTTTCCTCACCCCTCTGAGTTTCCGGCGTCTCGGAGGAACTCACCGCAAGATGAGAACGATCCGCTCCAGTGTTCTTCCATCGGCGCACTGCGATATGAACTCGTACGAGAGATGTTCCACCGGTATGCCGTATCTCTCCAGCAAACTCTTTTTCTGGGATTTCTCCGCGACGCTGATAATATCCATCTTCTTCTCGTTGCCCATGATAACGAAGCAGAGGGGAGAATAATTCCGAAGATCCCGCCGCAAATTGTGCGCAGATTACCTTCGTTTTATGCTCCACGCAGAGACAACGGTCGAGCAGAGATCGAACCGGATTTGTTGGATTCTACAAGAGCGCATGCCAATCATCTCCAATTACTACTTTGATATCATGGACTCTGACGAGTCCGTGTTTGAGTCTGAAGTCTGATGGTTGTCTCTCCTCCTGACGCGCCCTTTGATTCGTCAAGTTACCACGGATACCCGAGTTGTTGATTTTCTACGCGACTCGGCTCTTCCTTCGTAACGATCGATACAGCGTACTTGAGGTGTACTCAAATTTAGGAATAATGCTGAACGATACGCCGTATATCGCGTCTTTGAATTTTAAATTTCTTTTCGAAGACTTTTAGAAATTTCGTTCGTGCAAATTTTCGCGGAAGTCGGATTATTTTCGCTGAAGATGAAGTGAAATCCTTATACTTTCTTGCGTCTCGGAAAAATTCCGGGTCTCGAAAAATTCTGCAACCTGTGTGGAACCGTAAGAAATAAACTCGTATCTACTTCTCGCAAAGTACGGTTCGCACGGCGAACAGGGAGTTTCAACCTCGCCCCACGCAACCAACGCGTCTAACGAGGATAAACTCGCATTTCCACCTTCGTCGGCGCCGCGTCTCGCAGTACCGTAGCCCGAGCGTGTGGTATTCTCTCTTTCCGTACGCAGCCTCCATCCTCCTCCTCCTCCTCCTCCTCCTCTTTCTCCTCCTCCTCCTCCTCCTCCTTCTCTTCTCGCAGACACGCGCTCGCGTACGCGCGCACGTTTGCCTGTTAACACGGCAGTCGGCTCGCAGCCTCATCGCAACGCGACGCGACCCAACGCGACGCAGCGCAATACAACGCAACGCAACGCGAGGCAATGGCAGTGCGCGGCGAATGAAAGAGGCGTGCAGTCGTCGTCATCGTCGTTGTCGTCGTCGTGATCGTGGTCGTCGGGTCGCCGTCGCCGCCGCCGCCGCCGCCGCCGCCGCCGCCGTCGTGCCGGTCCCGGTCGAGCGAGCGCAGCCAAGTGCATATTAGTACCAGGCAGCCGCGAGCGTCACGCATTCGCCGGCGAGCGCTCGCTGAGAGTAGAGAGGTGTTGCGAGGTGTGTGCCGCGCGTTTACTTACTCTCTCTCTCTTTCTCTCTCTCTCTCTTTCTCTCTCTCTGTCTGTCTTTCTCTTTCATATCGAGTGATACGGCCCACGCGGTGTTGTGCATCGCCCGTCCGAAATTCACGATCCTCGTGGAAATTGGAAATCCTTCTCGCTGATCCGAGCCCTCGGAGCCGGAGCTTTTGTTTCAATAATCGCGCGCGATTCTTCTCGACGATTGTCGTCGTCGAACTTGTTCAGTGCGAGCTCCGATAAGTTGTGGACACTGAGCCTCGAGAGACGTGAAGTATCGAGATCTTGAAATAATCGTGAAGTGGTGCTCGAGAGTTCAGCCTTCAGTGTGGTTCTCGGATTTCTAAATATTTACAGCGGCTGTAGATTGTCGAGTCGTAATCGGTTTTTGATTGCTGCTGAATTCTAGCTGCTCCGACCGTAATTGCGCAAGTGTAATCGTTAAGATACGCCAGGTAATTATTCTGTGTTTAAAAAGATTTTCTAAAAAAAAAACTTTGGTGCACCTTTGTCAAGGCTTAAAGGTTATCCGATCTCTAAAGCCAATTACAAAAGTCAATTTCCTTATTAATGCGCGTAGCGCATGATTTAATTAATACTCGATATGCCGGCGTGCATTTCACTGACGTGTCTTGGTGGAGGTGCTCGGTACAAGTGGAGAAGTGTATTATTTAATCTGCGGGTCATCGGCCTTCCTCGATGCGATTAACAGCGACTGTTAATCGACAAAATTAATTTTATACAGGACCTTCAAACATATTAATTGAAATCGCCCGCATGTAGATTTAGGTATGGATAATTATGCGCGATTATGCCTCGATTCTTCCAACGTTGATTAATTTTCACTGATGCCTCAAGCAATTCACCTCCTAATAGTTCTCGCTATAACAGAGAAAACTGATAAGTACAATTTAGCTAATTACAATCATCGCTAACGTTGATAAGATCCGATTGGTGGAGTTTTCGGAAGACGCGCGAAGATAGAATCTTCGCGCGGCGCACCACGCAATTAATTCTCCGGAGAGAATCGGTCTCGTTAAATAAACAAGCGGTGCATCTGCGCATCATCTAGTATTTACACGTCGTAGACTTGCTACGTGCGAAGAAACCGATACCGCGGTTTCCGATTACCTTCCTCTATCGCAACGAGCCGATTTCTCACTTGCACGGCCGTCGAGCAGAAACGTCCGTGACACATACCGAAATTCAAGTAGATAAATAAAGTCGAGACTAAAACATCGATCGCAGAGTGTGAAATGTTCGATCGAATTACATTGTTGGAAAATATGTGTTAAATTTAACATAAATTATGTGTCTCAAATGATCCAATTAGTTTGTTAATTTAATATTGTATGGATGTGTTAAATAGTAACACTGATGTTAATATTTAAAAGATGTTTCTTGGTCTTAATTAAATATTATTGTTATGTAATTAACATAATTTTTATGACAAAAGTAATGTATAAATAATACGCAGTCATCTAGCCATTCTTATTAGCCTAAAATAATCAACAATTTTTTTTTGTAAATTTTAACATATTAATAAATAAGTACAAGTTACTTTAACATATTTTTTAAATCATTTTAATAATTTTACATTTTATATTTAAGATTAATTAACATAACGACAGACGTGTATTAAATTTATATATAAATATAGATTATTAAATATATAGATTACAAAAACTTTAACCAACAAATTTTTTACAAAAATATACAAATTTTCCAACTGTGTAGTTCTGCGAAATCTTGTGTCATTTAACATTATAACGCGAGAGATTTGATTTAATTTGGCTTGGCATATTTTAAAATTATCTATTCGATTCTACTCGTTTTGTTTCAACAATCAAATGTGGAAAATTTCCCGAAAGTAGTCTGCCATTAAAAATAAAATATGATTTCGTAACAGAGCGCAGTTTCAAAATTTATTCACGAATCGAATATTATTGTATTATCAATGACTTCATATTTGTTGTCTTTTCGAAAATGCTGAATTGCAATTTATTTACGAATATGCTATCGCGATCAATAAATATTTATATCGAAACGTGTTACAATCACGTATTTCGGTGAATCGTTTTTGCATTTACCGGATTTTTGGGTTTCAAAAATTCAAGATTTTGTTTGTAACTCATCCATTCTTAATTTTGATTGCGAGTTTCTATTAAGTGCCGAGTTAATATCTAACTGGACTTTTTCGCGTGATGAATTACAAATTTATTATTTTAACCTATGATCCGATTTTATTCTATTCGCACATTTAATTTGGCACATGTCGCAATTTACGGTCGTGCTTTGTTGTTGAACATCGTGACGAGTTTCGCGATAAGACCGCGTTACAACAAGAATCTCTCGTGAATAACATCGTCACTATGTGCCTTGGAAGATAATGAGGTTTAATACGTGATACGGAACGCGTCGTTATCTAATCTAGGTATCATTTAAAGCGCGATAGAAGCGAGAATGAGAGGTGAGAGTGACGACTTCGCGATTTTCAGCGCGCAAAAAGTTTGAGAATCTTTCGCGTGTGTGTTTCATCACCCCGCGTATTAATTATTCCTCCGTTATAGCAATTGTCATATTTCGCCGTCTATTACTATGTTATTATGTTAATTGTCCTTTTATTATGTCAATTATTTGCCCGCTACATTTGATCGCTTCCTCGTTTTTCTCTCAAATACTTTCTCGTTATATTATTTGCTCGTTTGTCGCATTAATTATTCCGTAGATTTTAATCTAATTACACGTGTCTGGAGTGTTCTTGTCATATCGGCGACATCGATTAAAAGTACTTCAATTACGTAATTTTTGCAATTATTATTATTTCTACAACAGCTTGCTTTTTTGCGAGAGCTTTTCAAACACAATCCCGTACAACGGAGAGGAAGAATCGAACGCTTCAAAGCGGTGGCAAACGACAATCCCAACGACAATGACTTAATCTCTCATTCAAACTCGCCGTTTCTCTCGCGGAACATTAAAATTAACTCACGGCATTCGGCAAAAAGCAGCAAAACAAAAAGCCGAGTGTCGCCGCGGGGGATGAATGCATCCTACTTTTCTCGCGGTCGTCGTCTGCCGCGCGCGAGCAAGAAGCGAGAACGCGCACGCGTGTGTCGGTGTGCGTGCGTGCGTGAGCGCGTGCGTGCGTGCCTGTCCTTTTTTCGTAATCGCCGACATGTCGGCGGCGCCAAGCTAGAAGACGCGGAGGAAGGCCGACGACCCGTTATAAATGGAACCAGAGAGACGGCATTTCTCGAATCACTGCTTGTGTTGTTATTCGCAGCGTAGAGCCGGCCGTCGCGGGACGAGCGGCTCGTTCGGAAATCATCCTTGTTTTCGAAGGCGCGAAAAAGGAGAGGACCGGCTCCATAACTCCAAATCACGGGACGAGTCATCAAGGTTCGGTGTTTCGGTGTAAATATCAGAGAGGAAGAAAGATACGAGAAAGACTCGAAGAGGAAGAAAGACTTTCTTCACATTCTTGTGCGATAAAGAAAAGCTGGAGTTAATCAGCGCATAAAGCAGCGAGGCATTGACTCTTGAAGACAGAGAAAGAAAGAGAAGATTGACAGTCAGCGGATCAGCTGATTCTCGGCTTCCGCTTATAAAAATAAATATCGCAAGTGGTATCACTTCGGATAAGTGATAAGTGAAAGGAAATTGAGGTCTGACTGATGTGTGACTATTATCGAATAATCGGAGAACGATTAAACACAAAGATATTATCCTAGGATAAACGTTTTCCTAGGCTTGGAGTCTTGGTGTGTCGACGGTGGAAGGAGAAAAGGGAAACGAGAGGGAAACGAACGAAGCTGCATCACTGGTGGGACTCGTCACCTTCAAACTAGCGGGGATTCGCGATAAGATAGCGACGGTCGTTCGCCGTTAATAAACAATCGCGTTCGACGAGGGGAACAGGTTGCGATTCCCGGACGGAGGACGCCTCGGGAAAGGAGCTCGCGGAGCTTGATTCGGAGCTTCGAGGTGATTCATTCGCGCGAGAGTTGCGCAAGAGCGACGTGTTGTCGCGCGGCTGGGAAAAGGGGGCTGTGTTACTCAACTCACGCGCGATTTTATCCCGCCCGCTTTAAAGGATCCCGCGCGAGGAAGAGTCGCGGCTCGCGACGTGCCAGGCGGACGCGGTTTACATTCGTTCGTTCAGGACGAGAAAACGGGACGAGCGGCGGCTGCCTGTTCGTCGTCGCCACGATTTCCTCCGAGTCGCCGGGAATTAGTCGCGGGGAAGGCTCTAATTAACGCTGCCATTAATAGCTCCGTATCTCCGTAGTGGTAACGACTTCACAACCGATGATTAATAGATAATCGCCGATTAAATATCTGGTCGAGAGTGAGAAGGGGTGCTCTTGCTGTTTCTTTTAAAAAAAAAAACAGTATCTTTGTGCTTTACGCATATACGACTGCGCCGTAATCATTAATTCTGTTAGATGTAATCCTTCTCGAACAGTAGTCGTCCGTTTTTCTTTGCCATCCTCTTTTTTCCTTCGTGCGGAAACGAGGAAGAATTTAACGAAGTGCATCAGAGATTAATTAACGATCGATTAATTACGTCGCCGTGGAATTGAGCAGTGATAACTCCAGTCGACGAATGACCGTTTATAGTAATTAATTCTGTAAGTGTATTGTAATTGCCGCGTGTGCTCGACAAGAAGGACATCGGCCCTTTCGTGCGCGCGAGTGGAGTGTCAGTGTCCTGCCGAGGACTGAGATGTGAGTGCGGCGGTAAAGTGCAAAGTGATGTAATTGGTGCATCCGGAGGCAATGTATGATGCCAGCCCAGCCCGAATGACACTTAGCCCACGTAGCTGATGACAAACGTAAACAGGATCAAGGTGGTCGTCCTCGGCGGCCCCAGAGTTGGCAAGTCAGGTGATTTTTCTTCTTTTCTTTTTATTTCGCTTTATTTCCTCAATTATTCTCGTTAACGTTTCACCGTTTCAGGGTCACTTTCGGAATTTCAATAAAGGAAATTACGTTAATTGAATCAATTTTAATCGCCATTTCTACTAATGTACATTAACTTTAATTTCGACTGAATTTGCTTTTCTTCTTTTTCTAATTCGAAAAATTAAAAAAAGAAAAAAATAAACAATTAGATTGAAATCGAGATTAAAGTTAATTTACATTAGTGGAAATGGATATAAATTATTTTCGACATAATCAAATCGACGTTGCGCAACTTTCGCTATCTTGTTTTGCGATAAGAGAAAAATCTCGGGCGCGTTGACCTTGCGCGTTGAAAATTGAGTCGGAGATCGCGGAGACTCGACAAAACTCTGCGAAAGCGATATTGATTTAGAACTCGTAGAACACGCCGTCGGTTGACGTCGATGTCGAAGCTAATATTCGTTTCGCACGCGTTCGCCGGTGAATGATAAACGGCGAAAAAAGTATGTCGATTATGGCGCAACGGCGTGAAATATTGAATCACGTCGGAAGGACGTTCATTATGGTGGACGATACTAATATCGCGTCGCCGTGCAGCGTGTAATTTCTGCGCGTTGTCTAATAGCGCACCGACGCAACCGCATTGAATGAAAGTGCCGTTAAGATGGATACGCATAGTCCGCGGAATAATACGTTGCATTAGTTAACCCGACAGTCGCGCGACGCATACAAAGCGAGCAAACGAACGGGGCGATAAGGCGGTTCGCCGACCTCGAATAAATCCTATTAATAACCGCCTAGGACCGGCCACCTTAATAAAAGGCGCACTCCTCGTTTTATTCCGCTCTCATCTTTGCACACGCGTGCGACCCTCCTTCCCTTCCTCTATTCTCCAATTTTGCATCTTCACATTGTTAAGTAATCGGAATAATGGCGATCCAAGAGCGTCCACCATGCCATGCCATTATTCTATTCGAGAAGTTGCAGAAGTTTCTTTTTTCTTGAGAGATCTTTCTAACACTATCGATTATATAATATTTGTTTATCGCCGTTAGATTTAGTGATATTTCGGTTTTTGAACTCTGGAATTTTTCAACCGTGAGATTTTCGAATCTTCGAACGGAGAGTCATCGCTGTCATATTCTCGGGACGTTACAAGTTGGCATCGCTTCAAGTCGGGATTATTGAGTCTTTTTTTGTGCGTGAATATTATATTTAATCGCTGCTTCTGCGATTCCTCTCGATTCGCGCGCGTTGCGACGGGCACGATCGTGATGGCGGTAAAACACGCGACAATGTCGCCTGTTCTACTTTTTGCGGCGGAAACGATGCATTCTCACGCGGTGGCAATAATGGCAAGATGTACCTCGACGGAGGAGCGAATCCTTAAAAGTCTCTGGTGGTATCCCGCTGGGTATAATAAGGAGGACCTCCTGGTCGTTATCGGATATCACTTCCCGGGAGGGGCGGAGGGGAGTTGCCGCGCCACGAAAAATCTTGCACGGTTACGGCAGCAGGTTGCGAGATATATCTGGATATCCGATACATCCGTTCTCTTACTTCGCCGTATTCGAACCTGGATTCCAAATTTACATTCTTCCCTCCGCCCGATTGTCGTCGTGTATCTCCGTCTGATATACGCGGTGAACTCGAAAGAAACCTGTCGTACAAATAAACGTGACTCTTCCACGATGAAGGAAACGACGATTCTGTGCGGAAAGCTTTGAATTTGTACTTCGATTGTTATCACGCATTGTGTAATAAATTTCTATCGTTTTATTCTCGCAGACATCAAATGCAATATGCAATGAGGTATTCCCGAATAAATTGGATAATTCTTCAACGAGAAGTAGATTTCGCAAAAACTGCTGACACACACACACACACACACACACACACACACACACACACACACACACACACACACACAGCGAGGAATCATGAAAAGAATTATGGTCTCGCGAGAAACGCAAGATTGTTATCTGCAGCCATTTATCTGCGTTAACGCTTATTGAAGAGGCAATTGGAGGTCCGCTATCCAAGTCGAGACGTGTTCATAAATTCATTTGGTCTAAACGACTTGCTTTATTGCCGTGTCACAAGAAAAGCGAACAGAATAGCGGCTCGTGGAAGCCGCGCTTCAACGAGTTTCTTTTCTGCAGGATCAATCTGAGACTTTTATCACCTTTTGGATGTTTTAAATATAGAACTTTCTACGTTACACGCGATTACGATTTAATCTTTCGTTTTTTAGAAAAATTACATTTCCTGCTATCTCTACGTCTCAAAGAAAAACTATTTTACGATTAATAATACATTATTCTTCTCTTTGTAATGAATAAAAATTCATTTTTTATTGTTATTCAACACTTTTACCGCTCGAAATCTCGTCTGTGACAACTGAAAGAAAATTACATATTAAAGATTCCGATACTCTGCGATCGGAAACGAATGAAGTTAACGCGCTAAGATACGTCTCAACGAAATTTGTTCTAATAAAAGATCGCGTTGAATCTTCGGGATAGGGAAAACTTCAATGAGACAAGAGGATTCGCTTGGTTGATCACACCATCTCGATCTTTTTTTTGTTTCCTCATCTCTCTCTCTCTCGTTCTTCCCTTCCCCTCCCCCCCCCCTTTTTCTGTTTCCCCTCCTATCCATGACGATCGTGGCCGTAATTACTATTTTCTTACGTCCACCAAGCGGCTTATCCTCCAACGATCTATCTATAGAACCCCGCGCTGGCAACCATCGCACGTCGGCGAATGGCACCGCGAATGGCTGCGTTTTGCTCGTACCGTTGCATCTTCCACATTACACACAATTCTCCGCAGGTGACTTAATCGGCTTCCCACTTCTTATTCTTCTTCTTCGTTCTCTCCTTCTTCCTGCTCGTTCCTCTATCCCGCCTGTCCTCTTCTCCCTTTTCATCTTCTTTGTTTTTGTACGTGCGTCACTTGCGCAATCTCGGTCGAGAGGTCTCTTTCTTCTTCTGGCGATTTCGACTGACGCTTTTGGAAATTTTGCCGTTTAATAGTGCCATTGTGGATTATCTGTGGGTTATCTCGACCTTTTATCTTTACGTCGAATTGTCCTTTCTCGCGGATTTTTATCTGCATCTCGCATTTCGTCGGTCTCTCGGTTATTTTTTATCCTTAATATATGCAATGGCATTGAGCTCGCTGTATTGTCATCGTTCCGAGTTGATTCTACGAGAGATAAAAACTTTATAAACGCCTTGTGTCTGGCACAAGTGTCGGGTTTCCCTCGCGTTTGGACGCGATAGAGAGCGCGCTTTCATTAGACCCGGACGCTTGGCACAGATTAGTTAGGATTATTAGGCATTACGAGGAACATTCTCGTGTCCACATCAATTACACCGGTTCGCGCGGCCTGTATAGAATTACACGTGACGTCGCTTCGGTTTGATGACAATCATCTCCGAGGGAGAATGGGTTTCCACTCGATTACCGCTTAGTATGCTAATGATCCGCAATATCTGCATGGTTGAGAATTCAATTCTCCAGAAATTTCTCGTTTGTAATTAATTATAAATGCAGTTAAGCATAGTAGCTTGATCTTTGACTGATCTTTCATTGTATTGATAAATAGATCTTTATATGCGAGGTGTAATATAACAAGAAAAGTACATAAATCTTTTTTTCATAAGATAAAGTACCGTAGATATTCTTATCTAGATTTATTATGTAGATATTATTACGTAGATATTCTTATCTGCGAGATATCTAGATTTTTTATATAAAACAGGATGTAAAATATGCGCGTGAATTTTATGCGCTATTAATAATGTATAGTTCATTCAATAAGTCAAGAGTAAGAAGAATGTCCTTCTCTCTGAAGGGACCAGTTTTCGCTGGTCCATCGATTTTCCGCGGATGTTGAAACGGCGCTGAAATATCGTCGTCCAGCTGCGCGGAAATATTTCGAAGATATGCACTCTATCTTTCATCTCAGCAAATAGCTCACGAATGAAGTTCTATATTCCGTTTCAGCTCGTGTCTCTACCTCTTCTCTCTTCTCCTTCGTGATATTTCCCCTTCTCTCTCATCGTCGTCATCATCGTCATCGTCGTCGTCGTCGTTGTCGTCGTCGTTGAACTCGACGACAGAGTTATAAACGGTGTACCTATGAGTATAGAGCGGCACGAATCTATATACTGAATAAGTTTTGCGAGATTCGAACGATGACGACGACGACGGCGGCGGCGGCGATGGCAAGGAACATCGTCAGCATGCTGAATCCTAGGCCGTGTTTCGCGCCGCAACGAAACGAAATTTATGATGCAAGAAATTTATCGGCAACCCGCGAGAGAACTCGCTTCGCAATATTTATGGTTTCTTTATTAACATTGAAAATAAGTTAATGGCGTTTCAACACTTGCGCATAGAGGTGCGCGCGTCTCTCTAGTTAGAGAACGAAAACACGCCTTCTTATGTTATTACTTGTAATTA